GAAAACAACCTACATGTCAATCAGAAGATGGATGGATGAACAAATGTGGACTAGACGTACAGTGGATTATTACTAAACCAGTAGGAGAAATGAAGTTGCTACATCCTATAGTATGGATGGAGTGACATTATGCTGAATAAAATAAGCCAATCACAGAAGGACATAATATAACCTCATTTACATAAAAGACAATAAAAGGCAAATGCACAGAAACCCAGGTTTATTAGTGGTTACTAGGAGCAGTAGGAACAGAGTAATGGAGTTCATAGCGATGGGAAAAGTCACTTTGGTTAGGGTAGGATTGCACAGCTGATTAGTGTAATTATTGTCAGTAAGTTGTACGCCCGTATAACTTGAATTGGCAAAGTTATATTTACAAAAACAACAAGGTTTAAAGAGGATCTTAGACATAGGAGGTCGCTTAGTCTCAATGGATCCAATAAGTAAGGGTATTTTATGCATTTGAGTTATGGTTTACAATTTGCTCCCATTCTATCAGGTTCCAGTTATTGGGACTCCGAACAGAACCATCAGAAGTGGTAGCCAGGCACCAGCAAGTTCTTCAGATGAGGCCATAATTCATGTAGTTTTCTTTCTTCTTTTGCCCTGGGAAAAACCAAACCAAACTCACGGGGATGGAGTCGATTCTGATTCATAGTGACCCTCTAGGATAGGGTAGACTACCCCCTATGAGATTGAGACTGTAGCTCCTTACAGGAGTAGAAAGTCCTCTTTCTCTCGGGAAGCGGGCTGGTGGTTTTGAACTGCTGGTCTTGTGGTTAATAACCAGGACGCCGGCAGGACTCTCTTGCTCCAGGGCAAGTAGAGACAAATAGTTGTATCTTAGATGGCTGCTTGCAGGCTGCTCGCAAGTCCCCAGACACTACTCAGCAAACAAGGATGTGGAACATAAACTTGATGCCCATTGACTGAGATAACACAGGAGACTATGGTCCTAATCCTTCAAATGGAGGAAACCAATCCCTTGAGGGATTTGGTTATGGCTAAGAAGTATCCATACTGTGTCCTCTGTTTGCATTATATGTGACTATATGTACATAAGTGAAAAAAGTATCGCTACTCACTTCCAGATCATACATGCATGGGTCTATTCCAGACAAAATGTGCTTACACATGTCTGTCATCAGTGTGGCTGCAGACAAGTCCTCTTAGTAATAATCTAGTCTCGGTCTCATTAGGGTGCTGTCCGAAACAGCAGTTTCGTTTCCAAGGGGCTCTGCTGGGCTAATTGAATTCAAGGCAGAGAGGTCAGCTCAGAGGATTATAGCAACTCTTATTTGGGACTCCAAAGGGGTACTCTTGATATATTTTCTTAAAGAATGCAGGATGATCATGGGAGCGTATTATGAAAACATTTTAAGAAAATTGAAAATGGCAATGGTGAGATAAAGGACCAGAAAATTGGGCCAAGGAATCCCCCCACGCCCCCTCCCCCCATCATGACAAAGTGCCTGCTCATTCCTTGAGGGCAACAAGGGCGGTCCTACGGGCATTTATTGGGACCCTTACCCCGTGCACCTTACAGTCCCGATCTTGCCTCCTCATGCTTCCTTTTGTTTCCCAAACCCAGAGAACATTCTCAAAGGGATATAAGTTGAGTTATTTTAGGATGCCCAAACTTCCATTTCGATGTGGTGTTGATCAAAGAGGGCAGAGTCCTGGGGGGGAGGGGGGGGAGAACGGTCAGAGAGAAGGAAACACCACCTTGTGAAAGGCATTCATAAGGACAACACCAACACGAAGGAGGTGCCGCATTTAGAATAAACAACCATCTGAGATCCAAAGAAAAGCATTTGCCCAAAGACAAAGATCAGCAGGGTTAGGAAAGAGGGAGACATGAAAACAAGATACAAAGGAAACAAGGGAGATACGTGCTGTTACATTGTGGGCATTTCAGTCAAGGAAATGAAACAAAATATGTATGAAACGTTGGATAGAAAACCGATCTGCCCAGTAAACCTTCACCCAATTCACAGTAAAAAGTTAAAATTTACCTTAAAAAAATAAATATCTAAGCCTAGAAGGAGAATGTCAAGGGCCAGTAGCTTCAATATTGATATTTTTGCTTAATAAAGGTTTCTATGACTTTGTAAGCAGTATTTTTCACTTACCGTCACGCACGCACGCACGCACGCACGCACGCACATGTATATGCACTGACCTGTAGATACACATAAGAAGCCCTGCTGGTGCTGTTGAGTAAGCATTGGACTACTAACTTAGGGGTTCGAACCCATCAGCTGCTCCACAGGAGAAAGGTCAGGCTGTCTGCTCCGGGAAAGATTCACAGCCTCAGGATTGACTACAAGTTGGAATCAACTTGATGTCAGTGGGATTGAATTCACACACACACACGTATACTAATATCTATTCACATATTTTTTTGGTTGTTGTTGCTCTTGTTTCAAAATTATGTGTCATGCTGTTAGTTGTTAGGCGCTGTTGTGTCTGTTCTGACTCAGAGTGACCCTCTGCCCAACAGAACATGGCCTGTTCCTGTACCCCCTCACAATAGTCGCAGCCAATGTACTAATCCATCTCTTTGACAGTTTGCTTTGTTTCCAGTGACCTTCAACTTTACCAATCATACTGCCTTTTGCCAGGGACTGATCTCCCCTGACAATGTCCAAAGTATATGAGACGAAGTCTCCCCAGCCAGGTTCTTAGGAGCATTCTGGATGTACGTGCTCTGAGACAGATGACTTTGTTCTTCTCTTGGCCCACGGTATTTTCCATATCCTTTGCCAACACCATAATGCCAATGCATCAGTTCTTCTTTTGTCTTCCTTATTTGTTGTCCAAGCTTCATACACACAAGAGGCCATCGAAAATGCTATGGCCTGGGTCAAGCACCCCTTAGTCTTCAAAATGGTATTCTTGCGTTTCAATACTTTAAAGAAATCTTGGACAGCAGATTTACCTAATACAAGAAATCATTTGATTTTTTGATGAGGTAGTTTATTGTGCCAACCTGGCCAATAAACACATGTGGGGTTAATTGAAGGGGGGAGAGATAAATGGCTCAGTGAGCCTTGCCTTTCAAGTTCTCCGGTCTCTTGCTTTGTCGCACCAGGTCGCACCAGGGTGCAGCAGTTCCCTGCTTCAGCTTGCAAGGCTGACTTCCTGCAAGATATCTCCAAGGAGAAGTGGAATGGACCTACCCTGATGCAGCCCTGGGTGCTGGAGCACCCGTGTGGAGACCCCTGCCAGCGCTGAGATGCTTACACATTCACTGACTCGGTTTTCCTCCCGCAGTCCGTATCATTGCATCTGTTTTGTGAGATGGAGGAGGACTTTGTGGATTGGTGTTGGACATATGGGTTAATAGGTTAATATTGGACTTGTGGGCCTGGACAGCACTGGTTTGGGGTGTTTTCTTGATGCGCACTTAACCTTTATATAAAACTCTCTTATACATGAGTTTCTGTGGATTTATTTCTCTAAAGTACCCAGACTAACACACTTAACTACTGCTTTCATGAGCGTTGTGTGAATCCAAGCAAAATGATAACCCTTGGCAACTTCAATCTTTTTTCTGTTTATCATGGTGCTATTGGCCCAGCTGGAAGGATTTTGGTTTCTTTACGTTGAGTTTTCATCCATACTGAGGGCTGCAGCCCTTCATGCTCATCAACCAATGCTTTTGTGTCCTCCTTGCTGTCGGCAAGCAAGGTTGTGCCGTCTGCACCCTACAGGTTGTCAATAAGGCTTCCTCAAACCCTAAGGATGCCTCCGGCTTCTCAGATTATTTGCTCAGCATACAAATTGAGTAAGTAGGGTGAAAAAACACAACCCTGGCACATACTCCTCCTCGTTTTAAACCAGCCAGTGTTCTCTTGTTCTGTTCCAAAGAATGCCTTGGGTCCGTGGGGGTGGGGGCTCCCCGTGAGTACAGTGAAGTATTCTGGAATTCCTATTCTTCTTAATGTCACCCACAGTTTGCTACGATCCACACAGTCGCATGTCTTTGCATGGTCAATCAAACACAAGTAAACCTCTTTCTGGTACTCTCTGCTTTCAGCCAAGATCCACCTGAGTGACATATGTCACATATATCATAGCAATTACCAAAAGGCACTTTTTTTTTTGTTTACATGCTGGTGACATCATTGACCCGCTTCACCCTCATCTAGGGTCATCTTTCCCTGCATCAAAAATAAGCATCTCTTATCTAGAGGGTGACGCTTTCCCCTTTCCCATTCCTGGTATCCACTTTAAACACTTTATACTCAGTTTTATTGGGTCAGAATCTAAATATCATACAATTCGACATTATGAAGAAGTGTTGTACAATCATTGCCACCATCTGTTTTAGTGGTATCCACTTTTGAGGGCTTTTGAAAGTGAAAACCCTCTAGCGCAGTGGTTCTCAACCTCCCTAATGCCACGACCCTTTCGTACAGTTCATGTTGCGGTGATCCCCCAGCCATAACGTTATTTTCATTGCTACTTCATCGCTGTCATTTTGCTACTGTTATGAATCGGCGACCCCTGTGAGAAGGGTCGTTCGACCCCCAAAGGGGTCGCGACCCACAGGTGGAGGAGACCCGCTGCAAATGTCTCAAACCCTGACTGCAGTCCTCCAGCGGGCAGGGGGCGCTCCAAGCCAGCGACTGTCCTCTCCGTGCCCCTTCGCAGTAGGTCGTCGTGGTTGCTAGGAGACGGAGATGCAGAGTCCGGAGGCTCCGGAACCCAGTTCCGCTGTTAACCCGGGCTTTCTTTTGCCCGAGGGCGGAGATCTTAGGTCCCATTGTCGCCCACAGTTCTGGGCGGCCCCTTGCTAGGCGCGTTTTCTTACCCCTTTCTCTAACGGCGGTGTCGGTCGGCCGACGATCCAGCAGCCATGCCGAAAAAGGCGAAAAAGGTCCTCACCGAGGAAGAGCAGCTGCTTCTGTTTCAGCAGAAGTTGTTGGCGGATGAAGAGATGGCCAAGAAGAAGGAGAGGCTCCTGAACCAGTTCTTGAAGGTAAGTCTTTTGCATGACGTTCTTTTGTTCCCCAGCTGCCCCTGTCCTTTCCACCCTGCTATTGTCGCAGCCTTCTGTCCATCCTGGCCTCCCCGCCTCCGGCAATCCTGACATGCAGAGACATAGACCCAGGGTTCGGGCAGCACTGTTGTGGCAGAGAATAGGCTGTGTCAGGCGTTGAGATGGGGCGGGGGGGCGGGCGTGGAGGGGGTGGATAGAGTTTGTCAGCCACAACTGAGCCCCAGAGCTGGGACAGGAGGTGCTGTCAGCTGTCCCTGCTGTCTGAAACTCGGATGTTGCCCCCGGAGGTGGGCATTAACAACAGCATCCTGCGCCGATGTCATCCCCCTGCAGGGCATTCACGCTTGCTCCCCAAAGTGCCACGAGGCTGGTCCCGCTTTACTTCAGGCCCTTCCAGAATAAGAACAGGAACACCCCCTCCCTGAGATTTAGGCGGCAAGACCGGTTCTGAGACAGGACAAGGTGGCCGGGTGTCAGCTGACCCGCTGTGATCGTGCTTGTTGTCCGGTGTCAGCGCCCTGGGGGTGTCTGGGTTCCTTCATTCAGGACAAGCTGGCCAAGGAGGAGCGCAACAGTGTTCTGAACCTGAATAAGATCAACACCCAGTGGAGGACCATCCTCCGGGAAGTCAAAACCAAAGAGCTTCATAAAGACATCGAGATCCTCAGCCAGACGTTTGAACGCGTGGTGGACTGCAAAGACAGCGTCATCAAGGTAGGCACCGTTCCCACGGAAGCACTTGAGTGC